GAGACAGAGAGAGACAGAGAGAGACAGAGAGAGACAGAGAGAGACAGAGAGAGAGAGACAGAGAGAGAAAGAGACAGAGACAGAAAGAGACAGAGACAGAGAGACAGAGAGAGAGAAGGCAGGGCGAGGCGCACCTCTTTTGTTGTGGCGTAGCGTTACAGCTAGATCGTCATGCAACTCATGCATCCACGCTACCAGCAGCCGGTTCCCATTTTCAAGTCCTGTGGCTATATTCGGTTGCCATCTTCACTCCCCAAAGTCCAGTTCCTCACAATTGTCTGAGCCGTTTCTTCTCCAACTTAGCACATCAACCTGCTCCACGCATGGTAGTCTCACGATCACATGATAGTTTGAGTGCGTAATTTACTAAGTTCATTTGCACACGCAACGCGCATTTACGTGAGATATCAAACGTACAGTGCTAATATTTTTTACATTTGATGCAATAAAATGCTAATATAATGTAGACTTGCAGTTGCACTAGAAGTCGAAACTAGTTGTAACCATTTAATTGGAATGTCGAAACTCGAATGACTGCACAACTGAATGTTGCAGTGTCTGAATCTACGTAATGTGAATCTGTGAATAACTCGTCTCTTAATTCTAATATTGTTCTAATCATACGTTCTGCTACCGAGAGACCCTGAGTTCTCTCTCTACTTTTCAGCCATTTTGCCACCGCAGCCTATTCAGTACCCAATCGTATTCGAGGTTCGATTAAGCGCCATTACGTCTCGTGCTACAAAAGTGGGCCAATGGGCATCTCTCCCACCGTCGCCAAGCAACCACCGCACGCGCGCACGTTTTCACGCGTTTACTCTGGAGGAAACCCCACGCTGTAAATGTCAAGCATTGTTTGAGTTTCCTGTCGATTATCTAGGGAGCTCCTGTCTCCTTTACATCCCCTCCTGACTGCTCGTCCCCGACCACCGGCAAGAGCCCTAAGCCTCATTCCTTCACACAAAAGCGTTCGACCCTAACCGCATTAATCACGCGTAGGGTGAAAAGGTATTTGCTCCCCCTCGTTCTCGGCTTTTGTCGATCGCTACGCACCACAAACATCTAGTATCACTGATTTTCTGGACGTTATAGAAGACGAGAAATTGTCAACTATACGGAGATGTATTTTTACGACCTGTATAATGGTTTTAGTACTTCCCCATTCTTATTCATTACCTGAAGGCAAAATGTTAGCATACCTCCAAGACAAGATATGTAGCCCTTGATACAGCACTTGAAGTAACCCGCAGGTGGGTTAACGACGTTCTGGACTTTTCCCGCATCATGTAACACAATTTTTTCAGACCTCATTATATTACCGAAAATAAAGAAGGAAATAGGAAATTAAATGAGGTCAATGAAGACAATAATTCATAAAATTTCTACCACTTATACCTTTTTATATTTAATTACTGGTGCTGCATCAGTTCATACTTTCTTGCACTGTTTTCGAAGTTTACAACATGTAAAGACCACCGAAAATAAGAAAGAAATTAAACGATCTTTTCTCTCTCTCTGGGAAAATAGGAAAGAGAAATTATGAAGCTTTTTTAAATAAAAATTTCGGTCTTCAAAATTGGACTTGAAAAAACGTTTTTCTGGAACAAGAACCAAACATACTTTTAGGAAAATAACTCCCAAAATATGTGATTGTTGCGATGTTCAATGCCCTGCTGCTAGTGTTGAAAACGGGTGTTCGCTGTCACCTAAACTTTCTTCTGGAAACGCAATTTAATTGCGCAAGGTGGTTTGCCATTTATGTTGCCGCTCCGCTTCTCAGTCCTTTATTGTAGGAATATTATTGCCGATTGCAGTTGCATCTGTCAATCGATAATGAGATCACACAGTATCTATTTCTATCTCTTGAAGTGTTTGTATCCGCTTACGTGAAGAATATAGTTTGTGCGCGTTCACGTGTTTCTTATACTCAGCGATGTCTCGAAAGCGTGTTTGTTCACGAAATTTATTTGTTATGTGTGCGACGAAATTGCGACGTTTCAAAGACATCCAATTACTTCGATCGTCAAAAAGACGTACGAGATTGTTTTGAATGAAAGGTAGATGAGAGTGTGTTGAGCACCATAGAATCGTTGTTCACGTTGCTCTTGCTATTTGACAGGCCGGTTGCATTAATCATACAAAAAAAAGAATATAAAACACTTTTTGTAACATCAGGATATTGATTAACTACGGATTTCTCGTGTATTGATACTGAGATGTTTGCAAGTTTTCGTATGTGGTATATGTGGAGAAGCTTTTCCAGAAAAATTGGTATGAGATCGTACATTTCTGATTTCATTTTCGCAATCAACGTATGCGATTTAGAAAAGAACACATACTTTCATCTCGCGGCAAGGCATAAAGTTCAAATTTGTTGCAAGTGTAATTTGCCACCCAATCCAGACTTAATTTCAGAATTTCTGTATCGGCCTATTTTCAAGCGATGATAGTTTTTGTAAATACGTATGTCTTCATGTCTCGTTATTATATGTACTTAGGACAATAATATCAACAGCTTCAAATGTATTACATACAATACTAGTGTTAATAAAAGTGAAGAAATATACCTAAAAATAGTTCCTTCCCAATTTCTTGCGATACTTTGGCTCAGAAACGTCTCTTTGTAAGATCCAGCAGTAGTCATACAACATTGCGTCACCCCAATTGCCTTGATGACGGTTTTCCATTTGAGATGTGTCCTGCTGGAACCGTTCACCATTTTCGTATTTCAAAAAAATGTAGTTTAAGTGACATGCTACATTCCATTCGATGGTGCGATCTCAATTGTTCATTTATAATTTTGTGATCGTTCTCTGCCTTATAGTCACCAAGAAATATTTTACAGACACTTGTAAAAGATAGCCATGCCTTTTTTCTCCAAATTCACTCAACAAGTCAACGAAATGTTAATCAGCAACTTGTTTTCTAATTTGCTGTCTTACTAATATTATTCTTTTTTTTTGCTTCACTGATTCGTGGAAACTTCCGATACATTAATCGATGTGATAATATTCAAGAACCACTAGAATAATCTATGTGATGTTTGTCCATGACTTTCACAACGTTCTTGACAAGACAGATTGACTTGACAGATTGGCTTAACAGATTGGCTCCACAGATTGACTGACAGAGTGACATCTTGACTTGACAGATTGCAAGATATGTGGGATACCGCAACCATGCGAATATGATGAAGGTCGAGAGACGAGAAGAATGGAGAACTACCGCTATTCACTCTACGAGATTGTCACCACACAAAGAAAAGGAGGAATAGTTAGAGTGTATATGTGTATTCGTGAATATTAGTGTAATATTCTGATATGAAATGTCATTCAATTTTGCATTTGAATATTGTTTTTGTTTTGTTGTGTGTAATTTAGAAATCATTTGGATGGTAAAAACAAAATGTGATGATTTTCTATCATTTTTATTCCCAAGATGAGAAGCGTTCAAAGACACACGGTTTTCTTCAGATATTGTGCCTCAGGATTTGAATTTCTCTACAACGTATTCTACATTGATTTAGTAGAGTCTGGTTTCCAAACGTTGGAAAACACCTTTTATTTCTATTAGTTTAATAATTCTTATTAATAATACTATAAATACATCTATACAATTAAAATTCAATGTTTTCTTTTACATGTTATAAAGTAACCATATTACGAACAATAATTAAGCTGAAAACCAAAGAAACAAAACAAGTAGTTTTTCTCCCTCATAAACATAAAAATATTTTTCCTCTGTTTGGCGTTAAATAAATAAAATAGAAAATGGGACAAAAAGATTATAGCGCAGACGTCAGGCCACGGCGTTCGGATCAAGGACGGAAGAGTAGGCGAGCACACGCAGCGCGGCGAGTCTGTCCCGCTGGTCGGTCTGTCGTGCGCTGTCGCGTCGTCTGTCCGCTGTCGGTCGTGTCTGTCGCTGGGTCGGTCTGTCTGTCTGTCGCCTGGTAGGTCTGTCTGTCTGTCCGCTGGTAGGCATTACTGTCCTGTCTGTTCCGCCTGGTGGTCTGCGTCTGTCGCGTGGTAGGTTCTGTCTCGTCTGTCCGCTGGTAGGTCTGTCTGTCGGTCCGCTGGTCTGTCTGTCTGTCCGCTGGTCTGTCTGTCTGTCTGTCCCGCTGGTACTGTTCTGTCTGTCCGCTTGACCTTTTGTCCTACGTTCCAGGTGCCACCGCTCTGCCGTACG